ACCACTTCAGCCACAGCACCACTTACGGCTTTTTTCTTTTTGCTTATGTGGTGCTGAGGAATCGAACCCAGGGCCTCAGGCATGCAAGGCAAGCGCTCTACCCCTGAGCCACCTTCCCAGCCCCTGAATTACCATTTTAAAGATGCAGCTTCCTTCATAGCACTGAGCAGCAGCACACAGATGGAGCCTACCTGCTGAGCTCAGGAGCACACTGAAGTCAGTCCCCCTCTGCGATTCACCGCCGTCGGTGTTGAGCTCTTCTTCAGTATTCTGGTATCGATCCCAGTTGGAGACGACCTTTCTTTTCGAGTAATTTCCCTGTTCGTCATTCTCTTCTCTATAGGTATCTGAATCACTGCCATCTTCAACCTGCAATCATTAGAGACAAAGCGGTAAGCAGGCAGTGGAAACCAGTACCTTAGGAGGCTTCACACCAAAACAAGTAAATCCAGCATGCAGGGATGACAGCACAGCAAATGTGCAGACCACTCTGTCCCAGGTGTTCAGAGTCTCATTTACCAGAGTCTGCTTGCAGAGTAAATTGTAACCTAAGAATTGAAAAGGAAATCCGGGTAATTCCTGCACATCCAATGTCCAAGCTGCTTTATTCTAGCTCAGATCATCGGCTGTAGAGTCTTGCCCTCAAAAGGCTTCAGGGTGTATATCAACCCAACCTCTAAACGCTCAGATTTGACAAACACGTCCCATAAATATGTTTTATAAGCTCCCATGCTCTCCATAGACATGTCCAGTCTTGGCATTAAAAGGAAGCATGCAGACTGTGAGAAACCCTACAAGGAGCCCAGTTGTCTCCACAAATAAGCCTTGAGGGGAAAGACAAGCAAGAGCCTTAGAGGAAAGGAACAGAGTGGGCTGGGAGGCGCGGCAGCAGCAGGAGAGGCTGCACTAAGACACACACAATGGTGTGCAACTTGCAAGTCAACTGAGGAAATGCGGAGGATATTTAACAGACTGGTAACCTTACTATTTGCCATGAGACTTGTATCATGAGTTACACTCTTAGGCTTTAGACACAAACACAAAGCAACGGATTCGAGGTATGGCAGCGTTTGTTTCCAGAGAGGACAGGAGTCCATAGAAATTCTTTTTTTTTTTTTTTTTTGGTTGTGGGGCTTGAACTCTGGCCTGGGTGCTGTCCCTCAGCTCTTCAGCTCAAGGCGAGCGCTCTACCACTTGAGCCACTTCCAGATTTTTAGTGGTTTTATTGGAGAAAAGAGTTTCACGGACTTTCCTGCGGGGCTGGCTTTGAACCATGATCCTCAGATCTCAGCCTCCTGAGTAGCTAGGATTACAGGCGTGAGCCACGGGAGCCCCGCTCATAGAAATTCTTGACAATTATTCTGTCTATTTTTCACGTTTGAACTTTTTCATTATATAGTATTAATCTTTTAAAAGGAGAAAGGCACCATTCAAAAAACTGTCCCTGGCTGGGAAGGCGGCTCAGTGGTGGAATGTTTGCCTAGCATGCATGAAGCCCTGGGTTCCATTCCTCAGTACCATGTAAGCAAAAAGTGGAAGTGGCACTGTGGCTCAAGTGGTAGAGCGCTGGCCTTGAGCAAAAAGCTCAGGGACAGCGCCCAGGCCAGAGTTCAAGCCCTAGGACTGGCAAAAAAAAAAAAAAAGTCCCAAATAAAAATCCTTTTCAATTAAAAAACTAATGAAATATACTAAAGCTTTTCATCTGTACAGAACAGATGAAAAAGTTAAAAGGCTTATTAGTGCAGAAACAAGACAAGTGCATGCAGAAAATTAGGAAGACAAGGAAAACTTCACAGAAAAAATTCCATCCCCAGAGAATACCACACCACCTTAGTGTATATACTTCCAGATTTTTCTTTCTTGGGGTCTCTGTTCTACAGCCCAGACTGACCTTAGAGGCAGAATCCTCCTGCATCCACCTCCAAGTTCTAGGATTATAGATAGCACCACCACACCAGCCCCAAATCTTTACCCATGCATTTATGCATACTATTTTCTTCTTGGTAATCAGCTTGTTTTCCCTTAAATTCTATTCTCTATCTTTTCATGTCAATAAATTTCATGTTATACTCGGGCTTCTTTTTTGTTTGAGACCAAGTTAGCCTCAAACTGGAGATGCTCCTGCCTCTTAAGAATTGGAGTTACATGCATGTGTCACCATACCTGGCCTAGTCAAACTATTTCTAGACTCATCCCCATCCCTGAACTTTCTTTATAGCTTGGTTTTCAAAGTGAGCATCCAGTATAAGACTGTATTGCGTGTGATTGCTTACCTTTTAGTCTCTATTAATCTAGTATTCTCTAGTGTTGATTTATCAACAAAGCCAGGCAGAATCCAAGCTAGGTGTGATGGCTTACACCTGAAATCCCAGCTACTCAAGAAATAGAGATCAGGAGGATCTGTTAGGGCAAAAGGCTAGTGAGACCTCACCTCCATCAGTAAGGCAGGAGTGGCATTTCAGGCAAAAACTCAAAACTCTATCTGAAAAATAATTAACACCGCCAAGAAGGGCCAGGGCATGGCTCAAGGAGTAGAGCATTACCCTTGCAAGCATAAGGTCCTGAGTTCAAATTCCAGTACCACTACTTCTATGACTGATTGTCTTAATCTGCAATACTACATAATGCTCAGTGGAGACCAGTTAGAACCTCACACTGCACGTGGTGGCACGCACCTTTCAGTGCATGGCGTCATCTGGTGACAAACACCACCCAGCGAGGGTCAGTAGGCTGCAGTCTGGTCTGCTACCACACAGATGGGATTTCTCTACAGTCTAGTTCCCCATCAACCATCCATCCAACAAGGTTAGCACTGGTCAATAATCCTCACCCAAAGCACGGCTTTCCTGAAACAAGGCCTAACTGGCCTTTCAAGGTGACTTTCGTCCCTTTAATGTCATAAGCCTCCAAGCCAAAGAAGAAAAATGGCAGTCTAATCTATAATCTAGGGGTTAGAAAGATTGCCTGAAACCAAATGGTAGCTGAAAGAAAGGTATGTGATTGAGAGCCAGTAGATAAGTTAACAAACAGCAGGTGCACTCTGAAGAACAAAGCTTTGTAACTGAAAAGCATTCAAGGAAAGAACTAGAGCTAAAAACACTAGCAAGGAATCTGGGCAAATCCAGTATTTTCCTGTTATCTTCTGGGTAAAGTTCAGAGCAGCTTCTCTAGTTCGTGAAACATCTGTAAACATAGCTCTCACATGCAGCAAATCTGCAAACCTGAAACACTGGGGGCCAACTCTGCAGCACAGCAGCCCTGAAGTGGACGGCAGCGCCAGAGGGAACCACAGCCTCTCTGCCTGGTCCACCACTTCGTATTTCAAGTCTGGGCCTCGTGTGCACCAGTGATGCTCTAATCTCCAGGTCAGATGGATCAGGGCCTTCATTGTTCCTGCCAGACAAAGGCAGCCAGAGTGGTTGTTACTACTGCTCTCCATTCCAGGAGAGCCAGGGAGACAAGTGATGTAACTTTCTCCAGAGAACTTTCTTCTAAGTGCCTACCTTGGAAGTGTGTGGTGACATGGTGACTGAATGCAGAGGGCAGTCCTCGGACTAATTACGTGAACTCTCTCTGCACACGCATCCTGACACCAAGGAAGTCTCCTTTGACGCTCCTCTTGAGTTTATCCCTTTCACTTTTTCCCTGATAGTTTGTGAAAGGCATCTCTTTTCACTTTTGTGGGCTGGATTTTTTTTTCACAGTGAGGAGCAAAGAGGAAAGAAAACCTAGTGCACACAACACTTTCCCTAAGTCTCGCAAAAATCAAGTGACAAGCACTTGTAAGATGTGTCACGAGCACTTCTGTGGAAGGGAGAGGACCTCGGGAAGCGGCTTGCTGGCACAGGCCTTGGCTGCTCTGGATGCCATCATGGCCCAGTCCCTAGCAAACACACCTCCTTTTGAGCAGGACAGAAAAGGGAGAGTACGTGACAGCTCCCCTCCCCCACGACAGGACAGAAACTAGCCGCTGCACTTCCTGCCGCAGCCCTTTCAAGGATGACCTTTAGGGAGCTCTTCCAACATTAGGAAGGAGAAATTTTAATTAAAAGAAAGGGCAGCAGAGACGCTTCAGGAAGGGAGAGAGCTCTCCCCTTGCATAGAGAAACATGGATTTCCTGAAAGCTCCTGTCCCAGGATGAGGCGCAAATCCCAGCAAGCAGGGTCAAGAACAAGCAGCCCTGGCATGGGCGGGGCGGTAAAACCCCTTCCTCTCTGCTTGCAAAAGATTATTTACCTTGGCTTTCTAGAAATTTAAAGCAACATTTAATTCCACCTTCTCTAGATCCCCAGCAAAAGAGCCCAAATATTCTCTGGGGGAAGAAATACACATGGCATTCCTCTAACAAGGTCTGTGAATTTAAAACTGTCATCTAAACTCTCAGGAGGAATAAGCTAAATCCTATCAAGACACAAGCCCTATGTAGCTTTGGCAGAAAATGTCTTCTCTTGCTGTAAACACACACACACACACACACACACACACACACACACACCTACCTCACCTGCTTCAGAACAGCACCCCCATAAACCCGCTAGGATCTCTGGAGAAGGAAATACTGGCCAGATGAGGGATCTGAAAGTTTGGGAGTGTTTTGTTTGTTTTGGTGCCAGTCCTGGGCTTGAACTCAGGACTGTCCCTGAGCTTTTTGCTCAAGGTCAGCACTCTACTATCTCTTTAGTCACAGCTCCACTTCCTTTTTTTTTATTTTTTGGTAGTTAATTGGAGCTAAGAGTCTCACAGAAGTTCCTGCCCAGGCTGGCTTTGAACTTGGATCCTCACAGCTCAGCCTCCTGAGTAGCTAAGATTACAGGTGTGAGCCACCAGTACCTAGTCCATTACCAATTTTGACAAGAAGAAAAGGAAACACCTGTAATGTGATACAGCCTAAAGATAGCTACATCTTGGAAATGGCCCTAGAGAATAAAAGGGCAAGGGAAAATCATGGAGACAGAACTCGTACCAAGAAAATGTCACAACCTCCAGCAAAGTAAACCTTGCTTCTACACAATTCCCAAGGCTAATGCTCAGTTATCGTCCACAATTCAGCACACCAAAGACAGAAAACAGAGAAAGACAGAAAAAGAAGAGAGAGAGGAGAATGCAAGAGGGGATAGGAGGAGAGAGAGGAGTACACAAGAAGAGAGAGGAGAGAAAGCAGAGCAGAGAGAAAGAGAGAGGAGAGAAAGCAGAGAGGAGAGAGGAGAGAAAGAGGAGAGAAAGCTGAGAGGAGAGAGAAAACAGAGAAGAGAAAGGAGAGAAAACAGAGAAGAGAAAGGAGAGAAAGCAGAGAGGAGAGAGGAGAGAAAGCAGAGAGGAGAGAAAGAGAGGAGAGAAAGCAGAGAGGAGAGAAAGAGAGGAGAGAAAG